ATATCTACCTCGAATAACGTCCTCCCTCTGACATCACGACACGTATAGGGTAATACCTTGAAATGACCATACATTCATGCTCCAAAGGAGTCAATCCATGGCAGCTGTAATAGGTAATAGTTGCTGCCAAAGGATCTTCGACTTCATTGACACAATCACACACCACAGCCATGATGTACAGACTGTTCTGCTACTACCTCTACTATTTCCTGAATCAGTTATGGTGCTTCACTGCCAATCATCAGAATGAAGGTGAAGAGGTGAAATGGGGAGCTGCATTGCTGAATCAGTAAAAAGTATGTCACCTGCTTGGCTGTGCAATGTGGCAGAAATGTCTAAATCACAAGACTGGCTGACCAAAATCATAAATTTCTTAAAGTGATTGTAAACATTTGTTTACAAATAAAAATAACAAACAGGTTTATAGTTTCCGATCCTGCTCTTCTCGGGTCCCCCGGAGGCACTTCTGGCTCCTTATCCCGACCGACTGCCCCCATAGCAGGCTGCTTGCTATGGGGCACTCATGTGGGCTTGCTCCTGAGCTGGCTCTGTATGTCCATAGACACACAGAACATGGCTCAGCCCTCCTCACTGGCTGTGACTGACAGCAGCGGGAACCAATGGCTGCCACTGCTGTGTCTAAACCCATGATGAGGGAGACAGCCAAGAGAGAGCCTCTGCTCTCATGCACAGTGCTGGATCCAGGTTGGGCTCAGGTAAGTATAAGGAGGGGCTGGGAAGCTGCATACTGAAGGTTAACTTTAATGCAGAGAATGCATTAAGGTAAAAATCCTTCTGCTTTTAAAACCAGTTTAAATGGAAAACATACTGTACGCATTTCAAAGCTCATTTAGCAGTTTTTTTACCTGAAGTTCTCATTTAATGACAGGCCAGGCTGAAGCTACCCGGTACCCTCTGGAAGCAGATGCAGACAAAACAGGGGTGATTGTAATTTGGTGGCAACATGTAAACTTCACTCCTCGTGAAACTGCCACACAAATGTTTTAACTATCAAGTGGGGACTGGAGTAATCCATGGAACTGTGCCTTCCCATTAAATACACTTTGTTGACACTCACCTCTATGACAAAGCTGAACTCAAGGAAAAAAATATTTATAAGAATGAAATATTAAAAATATTTCAGAAAGCATCTTGTATTCTTTTTCTCTGGTTATAAACTTTCACTGAATGGAAAAGGGGAGGCAAGGAGCAGATGAATGTCAGAATCTCCACCCCGTCTATTCAGAGAAAGCCTTGTATTCTGTGAAAAGAATACAAGACGTTTTCTGAATGGAAGAGTTGAACAGCCCCTATCAGTGTACCAGTTGTGGAAATCAGAGCAGCTGTCCTGGAAGATCAAAGTGGCATGACACAATGAAGATTTTTAGCACCGCAGGTAGTACACCAAGATGTAGATGTAGTACACCAAGAATCAGAGGTAACTAATCTAGATCTAGCACATGGCAAACAATAGTTGTGGTCACACAATATGTAAACAGGGACAGATAGATAATAAAGGTAACATCTAGTTACATACCAGGCCTATTCAAATTGTCAGAGATCTCTCCATAAACAATTCCCATTAGGACGGCTTTAAAATGATGTACTTTCACTTTTGGGTCAGCGTGTCTGATCCAGTAACACAAAGCAGCCAATGTTAGATGGTGAGCCGGAGGTACAGACTTCAGATCAGTCATTTTCACTTCAATGGTCTTTAAGAGGAGGTTTAAGCTTGTGGCCAAGGAGAGCTGAAAGTTGAAACACAGTTTTCTTTTTTTAATATCCGACCTATTTGGCATCTATAATCTGGTCAAAACCAAGTACACCAGAATAGAATTCATTCACTGAATATTTAAAAACGCACTGCCATTAGGTTTGTACAGAGTGTGTCACTACAGTTGTATTTTATTTTGTTCTAAAAGGGTTACTTCACCCAAAACAAATATTTCAATTAAACTTTTCATTACAGAAATGTAGAGGTTGCACTAAGTAGCCTCATTGTGAATACACTAGTTGCCTGGTTATTAACCACCACTTCCCCCTGGGTGGGAGATTGCCAATCATTTCCAAAACAAGATTGATGCAATCCGTAAGGACATTGTCAATTCACAATCTACCTCTCCACCTAGCCTCCCTCCCTCCATCACTTCCTCAACTCTCCCGTCCTCTGACCTCGCAACCGCACTGCCCCCCACCACACCTAACATCCCGCACACTATAACCTCCCCAACACTCCGCTCCTTCAGCCCAGCTACCACTGAGGAGGGCACTAAGGTCTTCACTGAAGCCCGCCTCACCTCTTGCCCCCTGGACCCTATCCTCTCACAACTCCTCCGGTCACCCCCCTCCTCCATCATTCACTCCTCACCCACATCTTCAATCTCTCCCTCTCTACTGGCACATTCCCCTCCCCCCTAAAGCACGCGCACATCACCCCCCATACTCAAAAAACCCTCCCTGGACCCCACTGACTTGAACAACCATAGACCCATCTCCCTGCTGCCACTCACTTCCAAGCTCCTTGAGCGCTTAGTCTACAATCGCCTAAGCGCCCACCTCACTGACAACAACCTGCTTGATCCACTACAGTCTGGCTTCTGTCGCCTACACGCCACCGAAACCGCCCTACTTAAAATCACTAATGACCTGCTAACCACCAAAGCTAATGGCCACTACTCAGTCCTCCTACTCCTCGACCTCTCCGCGGCCTTCAACAGTCGACCACCCCCTCCTCCTTACTAAACTACACTCCCTTGGCATCAGAGGACTCTGCTCTCTCCTGGTTCTCCTCTCACCTATTCTAACGCTTCTTCAGCGTTACCTATAATGCTGCCACCTCCCCCTCTCTGTTGGGGTCCCCCAAGGCTCTGTCCTCGGACCCCTTCTCTTCTCCATCTACACCTCCTCCCTTGGCAAACTGATACACTCCTGTGGCTTCAACTATCACCTCTATGCCGATGACACACAAATTGACCTCACCTCACCCCCTCACTCTCCGCCCGTATCACCCACCTCCTAAACGACATATAAGACTGGATGTCGCTCCATTTCCTCAAGTTAAACCTTTCCAAAACCAAGCTCCTAGTTTCCCCCCAGCCCACCCCCCCCCCCCCCCCCCCCATCCTCTCCATCATGATTAACAACGCCACCATCAATCCAACCCCACACGCCAAAGTCCTAGGTGTCACCCTGGACTCAAACCTTTCCTTCCAACCTCATGTCCAATCACTATCAAATTCATGCAGGCTCCACCTCCGCAACATCTCCAAGATACGTATGTTCCTCACCCCAGACACCACTAAACAACTCGTACACTCCCTTATTATCTCACGCCTAGACTATTGCAACTCCCTTCTCACCGGCCTACCCCAACACACGCCATCCCCGCTCCAGTCTATCCTGAACTCAGCGGCTAGACTCATCCACCTCACCAACCGCTCCACGTCTGCCACCCCCCTCTGCCAATCCCTTCAATGGCTCTGATTGCCCAACGCATTAAATTTAACTTATTAACTCTGACATACAAAGCCATTCATAATGCTGCCCCAAACTATCTCCCTGACCTGTACCCAAATAGCACCCTACCCGTGCCCTTCGCTCCTCACAAGACCTCCTACTCTCTAGCTTCCTGGTCTCCTCCTCCCACACCCGACTGCAGAACTTCTCCAGGACTTCCCCCATCCTCTGGAACTCCCTACCCCAATCCATCAGACTGTCACCTACGATCCTCACCTTCAGGCGCACCCTGAAAACCCATCTCTTCAGGCAAGCCTACCCCACCCTCACCTAACAGCCATTCTCCTCCACTCCTCTTACCACTCCATCCCCCTCAGCCACTTCCTCCTGTACCTCTACCCCCTCCCTCCTAGATTGTAAGCTCGAAAGAGCAGGGCCCTCGAACCCCTTGTGGATTGTTTTGTTACTATATTGTCTCATGTAATGTCCCCCCACTTTAATGTTCAGCGCTGAGCAAACCTTTTGGCGCTATATAAACACTGTATAATAATAATATAATAATAATGTCCTGGGATTGAAGTGGTTATACCGGGATGATGCCAGCAGCTATCATCCTGGTATCAAAAGTTCAGCCGGAAATGCTCTTTTATGTAGAAGTGATTCAAGTGGCTATATGGCCAGTTTCCAGAGGCGGCTTCTGTGTACAGGAGAAAATTGCCTACTACAGTTGGAAATGCCTAGGAGATGATGTCACCCATAGGCTTCCTATTGGGCATCTGTTGTTGGTTGCCCCTCCTCTACATAGAAGCCACCGCTGACAGCTAATCCTGGGACCAAGCTTCAGAATAGGTAAGTATATGAATCTTTTCTTCTGAACTTCCACTTCAACCTCTTGGCGCCAGCACCTCCCAGCCCTTTAAGAGTTTCAGAAGCCAGGAGGCAGGGCGGGATTTTAGAGTCATGTGACCGCTGTGATACACCGTCACGGCGTTCACATGATTGGAAAAGGTCCCGATCGAAAGAGGAGATCGGGACTTTTCCGGGAGTAGCGGACACGTGCTGGGAGCGCGCAGGGCGCGCGCTCTCAGCACATATGTATTTTTTAATTGCACGCAAATATGCGGCCGCTTGGCGTCAAGGACAAAGATGCCAAGAGGCCACATATTTGCGAGCAATCGGCGTCAAGGGGTTAAGTATAGCCATACACAATTTAATTTTTCTTGATCAGCCCCATGGGCTGAACAATAGAAATCAATAATTGCACCATCCACACAAAACAGGATTGATGGAGGAATCTCCCCTGCTGGCTATTGTATCTTGATAATCGACACAATCTGCTGTTAAAATACCAGAAGAGTGACTGCATCTGATTGGATGCAGTCACTGTTCGGTCGACAATATTCCACCAAATTTCTCAGTCGAAGTTTGTCAAGTTAAGTGGTGCTGGTAGTCACACAGCGCCGGTGCACACCCATTTTAGCCGATTCAACAAGAATTAGTTGCTAGCATTGAAAACATTAATTGAATATCTCTGTTTAAAAATATCAGCTCCAGTACCTTACCCCTGGAAGATTCTGAAGTGAAAGATCTTCATTACTATCTTCAGAAATAAAACTAATCTCTACTCTTGATCTTCTCAGATTAGTCTCCAATCTGTCAAACTCTTCAACAAATATGTGCATATTCCTCTTATTTTCTTGAAGTTCAGCTTGTGAGCTCTGGTACATGTTCAGTAGGAGTGCATAGATAACTTTACGAATAGGCTGTGTTACATTGTGGGCAGATATCCTCCTAAAGTCCTCAACCTGTGCATGAAGAAATACTCTCTTTAGTACCAAAGCATCACTCAGCAGTGGAGAGAGAGCACCTTTTGCTAAAGCGTTTTGTACCCAATCTGGCAAGTTCAGCTGCACTGCAGTGGGAGAAACATACAAACCTCCATGAAAAAATGTCTCGAGGTTGACTGTGTCACTGAGGTCATACTCTTCCATGGCTGAATAAAGGAGCTGTCTGACTGACTCCTGATCCTTCAGGTTAAGATACTTCAGCACATTCTCCATGGCTTCCTCTACATTTGCAAATCTAGACAGCCAATTTAATAGGCCTTGAATCCGAAAATGTTTCCGGCCAGTGTGACTCACATTTCCTAACGGAAAATGAACCCTACTAAAAAAGGTCTCCAAAGCTGGTAGGCTGATGTAATCATTGCCAGTGAGAACTGCAAAAAGAGGCAACAAAGACATGTTCAAGTTGTTAAAATAATTGCAAAATCTCTGTGCCGAGAAACTGTGTGCTGTTATATAACAGTCATGGCTTTCTTTTACAGAGCCAATGTTTTTCCATTGAAAGGTATTCTGGGGACAATAGCCAGCCTTTATATCAAAGATACAGAAGTCGCTGTCAAAGGTCAGCACAGGGCAGTTCCACAGATTGGCTAGAGCAACAATTTCCCTATCGGCTTCTGAGAACTCTGGACAAATGGCACATTCAGCTTTCTCAAGACCTGCAGGAATACCTCCCTTATCAGAAGAGGGAGCACACTGCCACCTTTTCCAGTTGACAGGTTTGCTGCCATCGCAATTTTGTCCCTGAAACGTTGCTTTTGGGTTTCCAGTTTTTTATCCGATATATCACAGCCTCCATCCAACACAACGTAAGCTTGTATGTTGCACACTGCCAGACTTTCAAAGAATTTATTAAGTATGTCAGTAAATGCGTCATAGTTTCCACCATGCACAAGGTCCAAACCAGAATCAAAGTATAATTTGTGGTACAGATTGTTTCCATCGATAATAAGTTTTGTGTTTCTCATCTGCACATTGTTGCAGAAGTGTCGGTTTGACCCCACAAAGCTCATTAATCCCTGAATTCCCATTCTGATAGTTTGGCAGGCAGATCTGTAACACAGAATAATGCAGATTATTAACAATACATGCATAGATTTTTCCATATAAAGACAATTTGTGATATATACAGTGGATATAAAAAGTCTACACACCCCTGTTAAAATGTCACATTTCTGTGACGTAAAAAAAATGAGACAAAGATAAATCATTTCAGAACTTTTTCCACCTTTAATGTAACCTATAAACTGTACAACTCAGTTGAACAACAAACTGAATTATTTTAGGTGAAGAAAAGTACAAATAAAAAACTAAAATAATATGGTTGCATAAGTGTGCACACCCTTAAACTAATACATTGTTGAAGCAGCTTTTGATTTTATTACAGCACTCAGTCTTTCTGGGTATGAGTCTATCAGCATGGCACATCTTGACTTGCCAATATTTGCCCACTCTTCCTTGCAAAAAAAACTCCAAATATGTCAGATTGCAAAGGCATCTCTTGTTCACAGCCCTCTTCAGATCACCCCACAGATTTTCCATCGTATTCAGGTCTGAGCTCTGGCTAGGCCATTCCAAAACCTTAATCTTCTTCTAGTGAAGCCATTCCTTTGTTGATTTGGATGTATGCTTTGGGTCATTGTCATGCTGAAAGATGTTTCTCTTCATGTTCAGCTTTCTAGCAGAAGACTGCAGGTTTTGTGCCAATATTGACTGGTATTTGGAACTGTTCATAATTCCCTCTACCATGACTAAGGCCCCAGTTCCAGCTGAAGAAAAACAGCCCCAAAGCATGATGCTGCCACCACCATGCTTCACTGTGGGTATGGTGTTCTTTTGGTGGTGTGCAGTGTTGTTTTTGCGCCAAACATATCTTTTGGAATTATGGCCAAAAAGTTCCACCTAGGTTTCATCAGATCATAACACATTTTCCCACATACTTTTGCGAGACTTCAGATGTGTTTTTGCAAAATTTAGCCAGGCTTGGATGTTTTTCTTTGTAAGAAAAGGCTTCCATCTTGCCACTCTACCCCATAGCCCAGACATATGATGAATACGAGAGATTGTTGTCACATGTACCACACAGCCAGTACTTGTCAGATATTCCTACAGATCCTTTAATGTTGCTGTAGGCCTCTTGGCAGCCTTCCAGACCAGTTTTCTTCTCATCAATTTTGGAGGGACGTCCAGTTCTTGGTTGTGCCATATTTTCTCCACTTGATGATGACTGGCTTCACTGTGTTCCATGGTATATCCAATGCCTTGGAAATGCTTTTGTACCCTTCTCCTGACTGATACCTTTTAACAATGAGATCCCTCTGATGCTTTGGAAGCTCTCTGCAGACCATGGCTTTTGCTGTAGGATGCGACTAAAAAAATGTCAGGAAAGACCTACTAGAACAGCTGAACGTTATTTGGGGTTAATCAGAGGCACTTTAAATGATGGTAGGTGTGTACTGACTCCTATTTAACATGATTTTGAATGTGATTGCCTAATTCTGAACACAGCTACATCCCCAGTTATAAGAAGGTGTACTTATGTAACCACATTATTTTAGTTTTTTGTTTTCTTCCCCCCCACTAAAAGATTTCAGTTTGTTTTTCAATTGAGTTGTACAGTTTATAGGTCACATTAAAAGGTGGAAAGTTCTGAAATGATTTATCTCTGATTAATTTTTTTACATCACAGAAAGCTGACATTTTAACGGGTGTGTAGACTTTTTATATTCAATATATATATATACGCGCACACACACACACTTCATTCACCCTTTGGCCTACTGTCTTGTGCTGCCCTTGTATCTCAGTCGACTGGTTAGCCTAAATCTGGTCTACACACATAGATTTCTCTTGTTCCTCCATCCATACTAAACAGCACAGGTTGACTTATGCAGGCCATAGATGGGGAGAAAAACGGCCGATTTTTCGTCCGAAAATAAAACCGGCCAATTATCTTATCGTTAGTGGACGATTTTGTCGGCCGTTTTTCGTGTATTTTGGACTTTCAGATTATCGGTGATGTTGGAAAATTTTCGAAAAAAAAACGCCCGACTTTATCCTCATTGATGGTCAAAAACGAACGATCGTTTTCCGAAAAAGGATCACAAAGGCCACAAAATGACATCATTTCCCGTTATAGGTTACTCATTAATCGGCCGATTTTCGTAATAATTGGTGGTCAGGTAAGTTTTTTAGACCGACCGATAGTTCGTTAATCGGCCGAAAATCTGCCGTTTTTCTCCCCATCTATGGCCTGCATTAGTCTCCCCTGCCAACTATTGTATTCTCACAGCCAGCACCCATGGCTGTCAGAATACTCAAATAATGACTGCAGCTGATTTAATAAAGTAATCAGCTGAGCCAACAATTTTCCACCTAGCCATTTTGCTTTTAGAGCCACCCACAAACCAGCAGCAGATTCAGCAGGATACATCAAAATCCAATCAATGTATGGCCAGCTTAAGTACCACACTAATAGGATCAGTAGTCAAAGCAGTGGAATACCGGGAAGCTTTGGATTGGAGAGCAAACCCCTTTCACAGTATGGACACTTCCACAGCAATTAGTAGATATGGCTTGCTTTGACACCTTATCATTTATAAATGCATTAAAACAGGGTTTGTAAGGCTTCTTCTTTCAGACTTCAGTACTGCTTACCATCCTCTGAAAAGTGATCCGCAGTTTATGTTGATAAGTATAAACAACTTTTATACTTCACATGCTATCCTGGGTTTAGCTGTGTTTAACCACATAACACCAGGCTGAACAATCCCAGAAATTTCTATTTTTTGTAAACGCAACTAGACTGAATGCACCCAGATGCTGAGTGTCTAGAAGTACATTGTCACACAAAAACATTTAAATGTTTCCAGGTGCATTTAGAATTCGCACCAAATGCACCTGGGTGCATGGGGCCTAACTTAAATATTTAAATCAATTCTAGGAGAAGATCAACAGACAGGATTTCTAAGTGGCCTCAGACCAGCATAGATATACAGTATTTTATGCTGCCTCTTAAAGTTCCTGATTAAGGAAAGCATCTCAATAAAAACATACAAAATCAATTCAGTGAAATTAAAAGAGAACATCATTGCTCCTTTTCAGTATCTCTCTAAATTAGGAGACACAGTTATTACCTCTAGCTAGAATCCTGTGTGCTATGGTGTGGTGTGCCCATAGTTTTTTGTCAGAATAAATACCTTGCCCAAGAAAATAGGGAGAATTAACAAAGAGTGGTGCAAACAAAATGTTGAACCACTGTTCACATAAAAAAATGGAGCAGATGATGAAGCACACTCTCCTTTGCTAATTAGGAGAGACCATTTGTCTATTCTGCTGTGTCTATAACAGACACAGCACAGAGAACAAAACAGCTGGAGCGCCATGCTCCTATCCCTATTCTCCTGCTCGGCTCAGAGAAGGATGGTTGTTGCAAGCTCTGCTAGTGCATTGTAATCACTGCAAGAGCAGAGAGAGGGATATGTGTTTTGTCTGCTGTCAGCTTACATTTTGTACACTAGGTCACACATGATGGGAATCTGTGGCAGTTTTTTTTATATAAGGTGCAGACCTTGTGACACTTTCTATTTTGCTGTGAAGTAGAAACTGGTGCAGGTGGTGCAGATAGACCTGAAACAAGTCTAACTTCTTAGCTAATGTGGCACATGCCACTCTTGATAGCTTCCATTATAATGACTCAAGAAACGTATCTAATTCCCCGGACTGAGTCTATTAATCCAAGACTCTGATTACATGAAGTTTAAATAGCATAAGTTAAATAATAAACATAAGTTTTGTTCAACATTGCAGTCTCCAAAATAAATGATAAACATAGAATTCTCTGTGAATACTGATAATAAGGTAAGTGAGCGCAAAGTGAAACAATAAACCGCAGCAGCTGGCATACAAGGTAAACCTCAACACCTTATAACTAGAACAAATAAAAAGACAAGGTATGCAGCACTAAATAAATGATATAGAGAAAACACTGATGACAAAGTATCTGTTAAAACAAAATGATAATGCTGAAAGCCTGTTAAAGTTCCAAATATGGTATACCATATTTGGAATTTTAACAGGCTTTCAGAATTATCATTTTGTTTTAACAGATACTTTGTCATCAGTGTTTTCTCTATATCATTTATTTAGCACTGTATACCTTGTCTTTTTATTTGTTATAGAATTCACTGTGGATCTATTTTGTCATTCTTTAAATTGGCCACCAGATGTCCCCCTACTCCAGCTTTAACCACTTGCCTACCAGGCACTTATACCCCCTTCCTTACCAGGCCAATTTTCACCTTTCAGCGCTGCCGCTGAATTTGAATTTGATTGACAATTGCACGGTCATGCAACATTGTACCCATATGAAATATTGATCATTTTTTTCTCACAAATAG